TGGAACAGAGGCCACCTCGAAGCTTCATGAGCCAGTAGACTTACATCCCAAAATGGCCGTCTCAAAAACCTCCCTTAAAGCATGGAATCGAATTTCACTGCATTCTCAACCTGGGTCAGATTCTAAATCCACTTTGAAGGCCCGCGAATTGTTGACTGCTCTCCCTAAAGCACTTTCCAAACCATCCACTGAAGTGTGTGAATCCCAGGCATCTTCTCCTCAAGGGGTCTCTGCCACAGAAACGTCACCAGAGATGCAAGATTCGCCTTATCTGACTCCCATGTCACGCTCACTATCCAAAGGTGCACTCAGCTCCCCAGCAGCAAATTCTCAACCTAAGCGGAAAAGGGGTCGTCCCCCAAAGAATCCATCTACACCTCGGGTGGAGGTGGCACAACCTCCTGCCTCCAACTCTGACCAGGAGACTTCTTTGGAGAAGCACACCCGGGCTCCTCCTGGCCGCAAGCGCCAAAGGCATAGGAGAAAGGATGACCTTGGTCCATCGTTGGCCAGCGCCAACCAGAGTTCTTCGGATGGTGAGGAGACCCGACCGCTCACCAGACTCTCCCTGCTGAAGCGGGAAGAAAAGCCGGAATTTTGCAGTGGGGCATTAGTTCAGCCCTCTCCAAAGGACACAGGCACTGAGAGGGCTTCATCAGCAGGGAGTAGTACTTGGGAACAGCCTTCCAACGACACCCCTGCCCGCTCGACTCGCCTGCGGCCTGGCTGCCTTGTTCCACCGCTGGAGCGGGAAACCCAGCGAAGGAAACGGCGCTGCTCCATGGAGGGCAAGCGGGTGAGGAATAGCAGTAAGTCACCTGCTTCCCAAGGCATCTCTGAACAGGAGGGTGGAGAGTCGGAGTCTTCCCTGAAGTCCTCGGAATCCAACAGTTATAAGTGTGTCCAGCAGCCAAAGCGCCAGTGTTATGACTCAGCCAGGCGGCGCAGTCAAAAAAGGGGCCAGGGTCACCAGAGTGGGATGGCTGACCGCATCCTCCGTAGCGCAGCAAAGCCTGCCGACAATGCCCAATCGGGCTCCTCTCCGATTCCCCCCAGGAAAACGGGCTCTGCTTTTGCTTCTTCAGCTGCGGGGGTCACTGGAGCCCTCTCTTCCCCAACAGCCCCTTCCTCCACCGCCCCAGTTACCTCTTCGCAAAGTAACAGAGGCCGCAAGCCCAAGACGTGACCACAGCGCGAGAGGTCCCACCGGTCTTTCTCTGCGGGGATGGCTCGACTGCCACCTCTTTTCCTGCACATAACAGTAAGCAGATCTAGTCCCTCCTCTCCCTTTGCTCTTATTCCTCCTATTAATGTGGGGGCGGCTACTGGAGGTCCCTGCATTCCAGTCTTGACTGTTGGAGTACTACTTGAAAGGAGGAGGAGGAAGATGGTGAGCGTGGCTCTTCATTCCCAGCTGCTTTTTCTGGGAGCAGGCAAGGAGCACTCCTGCTGAGGTCACTCACTGGGGCTGGGTAGCTCAGTTGCCCCGCCACAGGTTGTAGTGGCAGGGCCAGCACTTTGCAATGAATTCTGCTACTTCCTAGCTGCAGAGAGAGTAGTTTGGGGTGGGGGGCGGGTGGGGTAGCTTCAGAGTTGTTGCCCCTAGAATGACACTACAGGGCACCTGCTATCCTTAAATGCCCCCCAGCGCTTTGGGAAGTCCAGTCCAGGCTTTTGATAGGCACGTGTCACGTTTTGGGCCCAGGTGTTCCCCTGTCCTCTTCCCTCTCACCCATCTCCTAGTCCTGCAGAGGATGCTCTCCTGATTTATAAACATGATTAGCTCTTACTTTTTTAACAGCTTTGGGTTGGTTTTTAAATGACAGTGACCAAATGCTAGGTCCCCTTTTCTGGCTATCCCTTTTGATTGTCTCCCTGCTTATTCCGTTCACCACATTGAGGCATGAAGAGGCGGGACAGATATTTCCCAACCCACGTGGAGGACAAGGAAGAGGAGACCCACTACACAACCCAGTAAGATTACGTGTTCCTTTTCTGCATCACTACCCGGAGAAAAATATTTTCTTTCAATGATGTTGATCACAGCCTCGCTGCTCCAAGGACCTTTTTTCTTTTTTTGTGGGTTCGTGAGTTGGGTCAACTCCTCCCCTTCCACTCCTGTGTACAGCTCTCATTGTAAAATAGGTTCTTTTGAACATAAACTATGCAAAGGTTATTTTGTATAGGGGAGCGCAATTTTCCCTCCCTTCCCTCGCTGCAGTGGGTTTCAGAGGGTGGCAGCCCTCTGTCTGGATTTGGGGATGGGCTGCAGTGGGAGTGGAGCGGGAGGTGTTCCCACGGAGCTGTCTTTCCTACTGAAGCATGTTCAGAACTTGTACAGAAAACCGTTGTAATCTTTCTTCAGAATAATGCTATGAATAAAGTGTTAAAAGGGGAAAAACACACATACCACATGGATTTGTGGAATTTTCGTAAAGGTTTTATTTTCTGTGTCTCCTTCTCTTCAGAAAACAGCCGGTTTGGGCCCAGTGGGTTGGGTTGTATGAAGGAGCTGGGTCCTGGTGTTCGTTTCTCCACACGCTGTCATGCTCAAATTGAGCAAATTTACTTGGACTTGGCACAAGAAGTCATTTGCTATTCAGTTAGACAAACTAGAATCTACATTTGCATTTCAAACCATAGCTTAAGCAAAATAGACAGTTTGCTTTGGTGGCCAAGCCTATTATTTTAGCATACCTGCAGTTTAAAAGTAAAGATTGTGCTAAGAATGGTAGCAAATTATATCTGAGTTTATTAGGAAATAGCCAAACTTAAAAGTACAGGTAATCCTCAAATTACAGCAGTTCATTTAGTAACCGTTCAAAGTTACAACAGCATTGAAAAAAGGGACTTATGACCATTCATTCTTATGACAATTGCAAGCATCCCTGTGGTCCCATGATTTATAATCAGATGCGTGGCAACTGGTTCACATTGATGAGAGTTGCAGTTTCCCGGGGTCATGTGATCACCTTTTGCGACCTTCTGACAAAAAAAAGCCAATGGGGAAGCCACATTCACTTAAAACTGCAGTGATTCATTTAACGTGACAAGAAAAGTCGTAAATGGGGCAAAACTCACTTCACAAATTTCTTATAGCAACATAAATTTTCGGCTCAGTTGTGGTCCTACGTTGAGGACTACCTGTGTCATCTGGGAATAGAAGTGGACGATGGTGAATGTTCATCTGATTCCATATTCAGATACATTTCATAAGATTTTTCTTGAAACTTACTAGTACAATAATAACCTGTCATCAAGATTATATAAAAGATTGTGATGGGATATAAACGTACTAAATAAATAACACTGGGAGACAAGAAGAGCCAGATTCAAGACCAACTGATCTGCCTATTGTAATTGTGCATTCACATCTTTTGTACACATAATTCATTTAGAAACATTCTCCTCAGGAAGACACTATTTTTAAATAAAACATTTTTCCTTGCACAGGATTAGTTCTTGTGGAGAGGCAGGAAACTGAAAGAAAAATTCTGCCCATCTACACTCAGCTGATTACACTAGCCACCTACACTATAGCTGACTTCCTTCTGCTGAGGGCTTTGGTCTTTTAGGTAAAAGGTTATCAAGGCAGGAAGTCTATGTCTCACCTGCAGAAGAGACAACCATGGAGAGAGAATTGCAGGCTTGATCTCCCAAGGTTTGGCCCGTAGGAGAAAGAAAAAACAGGTTTCCTCTCTTGTCCCACAAGTCAAAAACCCACTTGAGTTAAAATCACATGAAGTCCTCTCAAGGTAGATGTCGGGAAGCACTTCCTGACCTCACAGGCTGTCACCCAGTGGAACAAGCTGCCATGAAGAGTGATTTCTCTACTGAGGTCTTTAAACAGCCTGGATGGTCGTTTCTTGGGGACTCTGGTGAGTCTTAACCTGAGATGGAGCTTGCCTCCATCCTTGTGAGTCTGTGATCCTAGCGGGACCAAGGGTGGTGATCATGGAAGTTGTGATCCATTATTTGAATACTGCAGGTCCAAAATGGGAAATATTTAGGTATCGATCAAGAAAACACTGATTGGAGGAGATGGTAGTTCTAGCCCACATGAGGGTAACCCATTGGAAAAGGCTGGCTTACACTGGAAGGAATGGGAATGAAAAAAATACTCCTTTGCATTAGCAACCAAGTCTCCCAGGAACAAATAACACCCAACAACCAAGCTTGTAATATGCTATAAAGGAAGCAATAAATTATTCTGCGCACAGCTTTGTTGCAAACTTAGGAATGTAGGCAAACTTGTTCCTCAGTCTGCAGGCATTACTTGACAGAACCTGCTGTGGTTCTTCAGGGCTGCAGTTGAGTATCCTTGACAGAGCTCTTTCTAAGCTATATCTAGTTTTCCCTTTCACCTCATTGACCTTGCTACATGCCTGAAAAGAAGGGTCTAACAAGGGATTGTAGAACAGAATTGAATATGTTCATGGCACTATCCGATGAAGAAGTCCCAGGCTAAGAAGCAAGGAGCCAGGAAAAAAAAGTATCTTCTCTCTCCTTCAACCTGAACTTGAATTTGAGCATATCTGCATTAGGGTAAGTACTTCACGAAGCAAATCGAACACTCCATCGATAAATACTGAAAGATGAGAAATAATAAAGGGAACATCCATTAATAGCATTTTGACTTATATACCCGCCCCATATAACGCTCTGGGCAGTTTACAATATTGGTACCGGTGTATTGTCATCTGGCTAGCAATCTGGTTCCTCATTTTACCTTTCCATTTGGAAGGATGGAAGGCTCAATCAATCTTGAGCCCCTTCAGGATCGAACTCCAGGCTGTGCAGCAGAGTCAGCCTGCAATATTGCATTCTAGCCACAGGGAGGTGCAGTGCTTAGAATCTAGTATTGCAGGCTAATGCAGCTCATTGCCAGGAGTTCAATCCTCGCTTGCTCAAGCCTTCCATCTTTCTGAGGATGGTAAAATGAGAACCCAGATTGTTGGAGGACAATACGCTGACTGTAAACTGCTTAGAGTGGGGCATAAAACACTATGAAGTGTTATATAAGTCCTATTGCTCTTGCTAAGCTTACTTGGCTAGGTAAGCCAGCTGCTGTTCCTTAAGTCACCTGATTTCCTCTTCATTGTCCCACCCTGCCTCGGAGGTATAACTCAGAATATTCCCTATCTAATCTGCCAGGCTCCAGCCATTTTTATTAGTTGAAGGCAGCCTGGAAGTCTTTCTCAGCTCTTTTGCAGAGCCTGGCAGAGATTTCCAGTTGAACCTCTCAAGGCAGCAGCGCCCAGAAAGCAGACTGGAAAAAGGAAAGAGAGGAGAGGCCACGAGCTCAACCGGAATGATTCAAACATGACTTCATAGAGAAAGCAGTGAGAACCCAACCCAAGATAGGCGAAACTGGTGGGCGTGTGAGTACATAGCAGCCAGAGAAAACCAGGAAAAATGTTCAGAAGAACAGTAAACATCAAGAGAGGTGCGAGTTCTGTTGGATGTAAGTCTTTTCTTGTTTTTTTCTGTTCTTCCCTACCTTTGCCACAAGAGCCGAGTGAAAGACCCAGTCAAAAAGCTTTCTTAATCTTGATCTTATACATTCTGTTTGTGAAAAAGTTGCCTGTCTGGTGGTCTGCCTCGAATGGCTTCACAACAATTTGGCCCGGATCAATTCAAGGCACAAGAGCTTGGCTCAAAGAAGACTTGACGCCAAGATGATGTGGTTCTTCTCCATGCCACACCAAGACACAGAGTTGGAAATCGGGTCTCCCAAATGAAATGAAGACATTCACACTTCCAGCCTCTGTAAGTAGACTCACAACCTCGGGCTACCATAGTATCCTGAAGCCTCAGATAATTAATGTGAATCACTGAAAGAGCAAAAGAATCAAGCTTTTTTACGAATAAAGGCGAATATACGTGTCCCAGGATAATATTGCAGAATCCAATCTGGGTCAATCACGGGACCAGAGGTCTTACCTTACGAGTTTTCGGACTTGTTCTGGAGCCCATCTTCAGGGAACTTCTCTCTAGCCTTTTGTTTTTTCTTCAACTTGGTGGTGTATCCTTTAGTCATGGATGAAGAAATGGGGGTCCTCAATGAAGCGGAGAGCAGAGGTATGGCAGGACCGGACACTTTGGAAGGTGACAACCCTGGCAAGCCCCCCGCTTTGAATGTGCACAGATTGCGCAACCTGGCCATAGCTAGCATCGTCTGTGGCTGTTCGTGCATTGGGGTCCTGGCTCTGATTTATGCAGTCAAGGTGAGTGATTTCCCATAATGAAAAAGCTGGAAAGTTGGTGATAGAATTAATGGCTTTGTTCCGTGTTCCCTGAGAAAGAGAACAACACTGAGTTCAATTTTCTTTGGGAAAATAATTCCTGGGGATTAAGAAAAATATATTAATAAAAATATTGAATAATGATATGATCTTTTTTTCCCAAATATATCTACTGATCCAAAAAAAGAAGTATTTAAATGCCAAATAAAATCTTTCCCTCATCACTTCTGGCCCTGGTTGCCATCATTACCAGAGAGGAGAAAAGCCCACATGCCATAAAATCACCTATGATGTATGGCACATAGAGAAAAGGGGCTTTTTTGTTTTGAGGGTTTGCTAAAGTGGATCACGCAGCTAATATCTTCATCTAGTAGACCTAATTACATCCAAAGGAGAAGGGAATGAATTGTTTTCCATTTCCCAAAGCCGAAAACTGAGATTTTCAATAGATACCTAGTATGGCTTATACTTATAGAATTCTCAACAACTGAAGATAATAGGGTGGGGTTTGAATGGTGGGAGAATATATTCCTCAAGCAGATGCGGAAAATAACTATCCTAGACCTGATGTTCATTAAAATTCCCATGCTACCTTCAGGTAGCAAATCCTAATCAATATTTTGCAAAAGTGTCAGATTCTAAAACAGAGGAGAGCTGTTGCGTTCCATGGGCTGTAAGGTTTTTAAAAGGCATGAATCCTCATTCCCTTAAGGAAGGTACCTTAGGCCTCTCATGAAGTGGGCTGTACAACGCTAACGCTAGAAGAAACAAATGAATTTTTAAGACTTGTTTTTATCCTGAGGTAGCTTAAAGGCTTACCCAAGATTAATCAATGGACAAATAGAACTAATTGCAGGGGACAAGATTTCCTATAAAATTAGAACGAAGTTTATAATCCTTGTAAAAGATTTGGGCCACCACTGATCCTGCCCTGAAAATGTGCAGCCTCAGGAATGTTTTTAAGGCAAGTCACATTGTCGTTTCATAAGAATTGACAATGGAGCTTCGCAGCTTCACTTTTTTATGGCTAGAAGACTAGGGCCAAAGTATTCCTTCAGGGCAGGAGGAAAGCAAAAATCAACCATGCTCTTAGCAATTCACAAATGAAACCCATGACAAAACGTTATTTCGTCTGGCTGCTTCCTCTTTGAAGTTTAATTATTTTATTAAATTCCTATGCCACCCATCTGGCCTAAGTGGCTCTTGCCTAGTTCCTTCAAAGCAATTTTCTTTCCAACCCAGTTTCCCATTATATCCTTCAACGGCACTCTCTCTCTCTCTCTCTCTCTCTCTCCCTCTCTCTCAATGGGGTGCAGGGGTGGTGCATGGGCCCTCCATGGGCTCTGTTTTCACTGACAGAAGACTATCAAAACAAACTAAAAACAAAAGGAGAAATGTTTCCCCTTTTGTATTTGGGTTTGCAAGAAGGGATAGGAAAGGAGAAAGAGGAAAGACGGGAAGAGAGCAAGGAAGGAAAAATAAGGAAAGAGGGGAAGCAAGAAGGAAGAAGGAAGAAAAAAGAAAAGGGAGGATTATAATGAGATTGAGGAGGGTCTCAGGGAAGTCCTGCCTTAGCACTTGGCCACCATAGGTTCCCCTGACATGAGTGACGTCGAGTTGGTGACACCCATCATGGCCACTCCCACCATGGCTCTCCGAGGTCAAACACAGTCCTGATGTGGCCCTCAATGAAATAGAACGTGGCACCAGCAGTGGTATTCAGCAGGTTCTGACTAGTTCTGGAGCAGAAATTTTGAGTAGTTCAGAATACTACCTCTGAGTGGCCTCATCTCCCCCATCTATTCTCTGCCTCCCGAGTCCCAGCTGATTGGCTGGGTCTTCTTTTGCTGCCCTGTAGAGGAGAATGGAGCTGGAAAGCAGGTGAGTGGGGTGGGGTGGGAATGGGGATTTTGCAGTATCCTTCCCCTCACCATGCTCACCAAGCCACGCCCACAGAACCGGTAGTAAAAAAAATTGAATCCCACCACTGTTTGACACTCCTGGTGTCAAGGTTCCCGGCAGTTACTCCAATTAAATCATGAGCCTCAAGCCACACTCCCAAAACTAAAGAGGATTTATTTGAAGCTACCATTAGTCCAGCACTAACCTTGGCGTAGCTGAGATACATAATTCACTGCCACCCTTGATCCTGCTCCCCACCCCCCAACCATCTGGGCCTATCATCCAACGAAAAAGATCTATAGCCAAGAGTCATCAATTATGCTCTCCAATTAGATTTTTTTTCCCCTGGCAGAAGCTTCAGCCATCTAATCATTCTTTGAAGAAAATATGAATGGAATGTACTTTCAATTTCAACTGCCTGCTGTTTGAAACTCCCCCCCACCTTCTTTCTATTGTCAACTATAAAATGTGTAAGCAAATTGTTTCATGAGTTGACACCTGGTATAAGGTCTCCTGCTTTGGGCCTGCTTTCTGCTCCTCAAAGGTCCCTTCCAACCAATGGTGGGATTCAATTTTTTTTCTACCAATTCTGTGGGTGTGGCTTGGTGGGCGTGGCAGGGGAAGGATACTGTAAAATCTCCAGTCAGAGGTGGGATTAGCCGGTTCTCCAAACTACTCAAAATTTCCGCTACCGGTTCTCCAGAACTGGTCAGAACCTGCTGAATACCACCTCTGCTTCCAACCCTATGATTCTGTTTCTGTATTTCCATTTGACCTGTAGTCTTATTTTCTTTAAAAATAATTTTAATTTTTTGTTTGTTTTTTTGCATGAAATATGTAATCTGTCTCACATTAAACCTGCACCTGGGTGATCTATTTAACCCCCCCCCCCACCCATCCCTATTGAAATCCTGCATTAGTCTAGCCTCTAGCTTGATAAATTACTCCAAAATGGGTAAAGCTGAATTTTCTGAATTTTCAACATTGGAACACATTACCCAATCGAAATTAAACTTGACTTAAAAATGTGTAACCTACATGTTTCATCTAAGTAGTTACAGAATTGGGCCTTTTAATCAACCCATTTCAGCAAGTAATGTACACGATGTCACAAATTCAGGCTAAGAAGAATTTTTCCTTAAAATGATTTCTGGTGTCTTTAGTCTACATCCAGAGTAAATAACAAAGTTTTTTTTTTTTTTGCTCCTTTAGGCTAATGAGAAGCAAAAGGCCCATTGCCAGAATGCAGCACTTCATTGGGCTCGGAAATCTCGGCTTATGTCTTGCCTGAGTATCATTGTCTGGATTTCCCTTCTTATTCTGATCCCCATGTTACTAGTCCTCATGTCTTACCTCATAGCTAAAGTAGAATGATGAGCCACATAATTTAATGACTTTGGGCTTCCGAAGTCCATGTTTACTATTGTGGTTTCTTCAGTTGGATTAAGCCAAGCAACCACTGAAGTATTTTTTTGTTGAGTTGGCTCCATGGATGGGAAAAATGGTGGGCATCAATTTTTTTCTCCTGCAGATGATGTAGAAGGATTTGTTCTACTCAAATGAAAGACACCTAGCTGGTTCTATCTGTTATCATCCTTATCCATTTGAAGTACTCTAGATGTTGGGAGTACACATCTCATCATTCCTAGCCAGGATTGCCATATGATTTGGATTTTCAGAAGCACCCGCACTTGATTGAAATATTTCTATTTGTTTCATGAAATGTTCTTTCCTGATGGAAAAAATACACCTACTATAGAAAACCCCTGAAAGAATGGTTGAGTGTGGAAAAAAGGAAGTCAAATTTATTTGGCATACAGATGTTTTGAATTATTGTGTGCTTCCGGGCAAACCATTTCATTTGGGCACAAAGACCACCCTCTCCCTTTCTACCAAAAGTAGTTTGCCTTTGAGGGAGGGGCAGCAAGCTCTATATCTTCAATGTCGTTATTCAGCAATCTCTTTTTTTCTCTTGTGGATGGCACAGATAACTTATACTTAGAATAATTTTGTCATTTTGAATGTACATTAAAATGAAATTTTGGTTGCATATAGCTCTCAAAGGCTCACCATCTCCAATAAACATAAACATGACAAAACAAATAAGTAAATAAATACAAAATTATACATACTGTATACCCACAGGTATTATATGACAGAGAATTAACACTGTCTAGTTTGGATGTATACATATACATGGCAAGAAAAACAAATCTTGTGAGTTTACCAGAATAGCATAGGAACAAAGCTGTTACAGAATTTGGTAGTCTTGCTAGAAATACTTTGAAACCGCCTCCGAGAGGGGGAGCAACAGAAAAAGACCGTGAAATGGGTGTGTATGAGTGTCTCTGACAATGCTTTGAGCTCTAAGCACATAGCACTTATAAGCAGTATCCTGAATGGCGGGAAGAGAGCTTCCTATAATCTTCTCGGCTGTCCTTACCACTCTCTGAATGGACTTTCTCTCTGAGGCACTGCTGCCACCAAACCAAACTGTGATGTAGTTTGTTAAAATGCACTCAATCATGCCTCTGTAAAGAGTGGCCAGAACAGGAGAAAGATGTGCTCTCCTCATCCAACCCAGGAAAGGCAGATAACATGGTTGGGTACAGAAGGCAGCCTGAAGATCAAAGCGGAATTGAAGCATTTATTGGGGTAGGTGGGGAGTTGGATTCAAAGGCTGCCCCATCTATAAAGTCCCTTTGGGTGACCTTAGACCAGTCCTTCATTCTCTTAGTCCTGGTCCACCTCAGAGGGTTGTTGTGCAAATAAAACTGGAAAGCAGAAGCCTCTTTTGGATGAAAAATGATTAAAAACAGCAACATAGCTTGTCTAAGGAGTCAGGATGCATTGAGGAGTAGTGGTTAGAGCACGCTTCCCAGCCTGATGCCGTTCCAAGACTCCAACTTTCATAATTCCCAGCAAGGCCGCTTCCACTCATTTCAGATTAAGAGTTGGAAGGGACCTTGTAGGTCATCTAGTCCAACCCTCTGCCCAAGCAGGAGACCCTACATCATTTCTGTCAAATGGCAATCCAAGCTCTTCTTGAAAGTCTAAAGTGATGATGCTCCCACAACTTCCGAAAGCAACTTCTGTTCCATTGATTGATCGTTCTCACTGTCATTATATTTGCATTAGCATAAGGTGGAGGAAAACCGGCCCGATCAATAGGAAGCCCAGATTTAGATGCGAACGCGGGTGACCTTGAGCTGCCCATCCTAATCTATTTCAGAAGGACGTGAGGTTCGTGCCTTGCGGGCGGAGGGTCCGGCTAGGGCAGATTGTGTACCTTTGTATATGTGTGTAATAACACTACCCCGTGTGATCACGTGACCACCTTGAAGAAAGGCGTGGGAGAATTCCCCGGCCGCCACTCGACCTTTTCCTTTGGCGATCGTGAAACCTAGGATAACCCGCCCTTTCCCTTTCCCGATTGGCTAAGCTTCACCCAAAGTTTGTTTACCGAGCCGCACCGCCTCTCGCTCCCTTGTCCAAATCCAGCAGTCGATTGGTTCATCCTCCTGACTACCTTAACCACCTTCCATTCTGATTGGCCGAGCTTTCTCCCGTCGGTGGCGGGTGGGAAACAGCGTTTCCTTTTTTTAATCCTCGCCCTTCCATTTCTTCTTCTTCTTCTTTTTCTTCTTCTCTTCCTCCATTTGATTGGCTTCTGCCTTTAGACATCCCGCCTCCCTTCACTCTGTTCGCGTGGCCATTGGGCGTTGCTGTCGCCAGTTCTGAACAGATCCCTTTCGTCGCTCTGTTCACACCCCACGGCGTTAAGGCAGCGCGAACCAATCCGATCGAAGGGGCGGGGCCCGGGAATCGCCGGCTATTATTCGGGACGGGGGGTCATTCACTCAATTAAAGCGGAGGCGCCGCCAGGTGAGCGACTCGCGGTGCGGGCGGCGCTTATATAACGGGAGATTCCTCCCCGCTTGCAGAAGGAAAGGCTGGGAGGAAGTGAGCGGGGGGGAGTCTTATGGCCCGGGAAGGGCGGATAATGGTTGGCGGCATCTTAGGACTCGGAACCCCTCCACCCCGGCTTGTCGCTGCTAGGCCACGGATAGCCTGGAATGCAAACCGATAGTTTCTGAGAATACGCAGAGTGCCTGTCTAATTGGGCTTAGCGAATCTTGGGAGGAGAGTGGGGGGTGCATGGAGGAGGAGGGAGGACGCTTTCGCCGCAGGGCAGCCTTTCTGCCCGTTTTGTAATAAGCGCTTTCTGTGTTCTGTCTCAGGTGCTTCGCGCGTGGTACTTGCTTTCTAAGTTTTGCAACAACCTTGGAAGGTAGGCCAGTATTGCTTAGAAAGCAAGGACCATGTGCAGGGGAAAGTGGCAAATACTCATCTTTTTCCCTCCCTCCCTCTCCCCCTCAGTCCTCTCCCTCCCTCCCTCGTCCCTCCCTCCCTCTCCCACCTGTCCTCTGTCCCTCCTTCCTCCCTAATTCCCCTCTCCCTCCCTCCCCTTCTCTCCCTCCCCCCCTCTCTGTGTGATAAGGCATAGATAAAATGGAAATGATGCCATACTCTAGATAAATTCCTATACATTTTATACACTTTTGACACACCTTCATGTACTGAATCCAGATCCTGAAAGCAGGTTTCTGGCTACCTTTATTTTTTAAACCAAACACATCAATAGTGCTTAGATATGGGAGATGTCCTTCTAATATCCTTCAATACTAAATTGTGGAGAATTTCAGGCTGTAGATTCAGTAACACAACCAACAAATGCCTTGGGATGTTTCCCCTTTTTCCTGGTATTATTTGGAAATCTTGGATTGCAACTTTCTTAGCAAATGTGACAAGTGAATATTTGTATTTGGACAGTTATTGTCTAATAGTTCCAGTTCAAAGTTTAGAAAGTTATCCTAGTAAGTAGAATGTTCTCAGAGCCAATTTGATTTACTGTGCTATTAAAATTAACCAATAAAGGAGAATTTTTGTAGCTCTGGGTTGAAACAAGTGGTCCTTGGTGGCCTCTGAAGTTGATTGTTTTCTTGTAGATGTTTCACTACCCAAACTACATAACATCATCAGTGTTAGTGTTGATGTTATTTGATATTGGGTAATGAAGAAACTTCTGCAACAAAACAGCCAGGCTCAGAGAACACCAAGGATCTCTCATTGGACAATATTGTCAGGTTTATGCATCTTTTCTTGTGGGAAAACCCCCATCCCATTTCAGTTTAATGACATTTATACTCCTTAAGGAAACGTCTGCAAGATTTACATCCTTATTGAGAAGAAGCTGGATTCAGATTATAAGATTGTGATTAGGCTAAAACGAGTGTCTGAAACGAATTTTTAGGTTTAGAAGTAAAGAATTCCAGTGGAATGGAAAAGCAGACATTAGAAAGAAGGTGTGACTCTGGGCAAAATGTGGAATTGTAGAGGCTGATATATATGTGGAATATTCTAATGGGATGTTCCAAAGGAATATCTTTCCTTGGTCATGCTTCTGATCCCATTACTTTCTATACACTGTATATATGGCATGTGTGTCGAATGTTTGTGGCATTTTTGCTCCCTTGGAGGGAAAAAAATTCACAAGGCTTTTTATTTTGCCCTGATTTGCTCACAGGAATGGGGAATCTACCCCACTGTAGCACAAGGATGCAAAATGATTGATTGGTTGATGGTTGATTGGTTTATTTGTACATAAATCCAAAGGAGGAATAGCAGCTCCCTTTGACGGTAGGGGAGAGTGCCTTGAGGGTTAACGTATGTCTTAGAATCCATCCTGCCACTGAATGAAATCTTCAGAGAAGGGATTCCAATTAAGCCCTTTTCCTTCGTCTCTTCCATGACGTCCATCATGAAAGCCATGTGTGCACGGGAATGTCTTGGCCTGAGGCTGCCTTCACGTAGGTTTATTTCCTCATCTAGGTCTCCTCTTAGATTTATGCATGCTGCTCAGGGAGCAGTGGAGTCGAGAAAGCATCCGGCACTTTGGTCAGTTTTCCCTTTGCCTCTTTATGCATTTCAGAAGCTGAATTGGATCCTGTGGCTTACCAGCCCTGTTATAAAATGACACGAGATGTGGGCCTGGATGACGAGCTTCCAGACTGGGCAGGAGCCAAGGAGTTCTACCAGAAATACGATCCCAAGGATGTTATTGGCAGGTGAGGCTAGTAGAATGGCTTGGAAGGGTGAAAATACCTCAAATTTATTTTTCCTTGCTGGGACGTTAGCGTTTCTGGAAAATTGATTTTTTTTCTGCACATCCTTTGCTCATTCTGCTCACAGAGGAGTAAGCAGTGTAGTCCGGCGATGTATACATAAGCAGACTGGACAGGAGTTTGCAGTAAAGATTATTGAGGTAACCCCAGAACGCATGACCCCCCAGCAGCTGGAAGAAGTCCGCTTATCAACCAGCAAAGAGATTGCCATCCTGCACCAGGTCTCCGGTCACCCTTACATCAGTGAGTGTGGCCGTCCTCTCAGCATCCCTGTCTCTCTCTCTCTCTCTCTCTCTCCCTGTCCTGCAAATTTATTTCATTTATTTGCTTTCTATCCTGCCTTTTATTACTTTTTAGATAATAACATACATAATACAGGTAGTTCTCGAATTACAGCACTTCATTTAGTGACCGTTCAAAGTTACAAAAGGCCCCGAAACAAGTGACTTATGACCATATTTTTTGCACTTGCCACTTCTGTAGCCTCCCTACGGTCATGTGATCAAAATTCAGATTTGACAATCTGGCACATACGTATGGCGGTTCCAGTGTCCTGGGGTCACCTTTTGCAACTTTCTGACAGGCAGGGTGGTCAATGGGAAAGCCAGATTCACTTAACAACCGGGTTACTAACTTAACAACTGTAATTATTCATTTAACAACCATGGCAAGAAAGGTGGTAAAATAGGGCAAAATTCACTTAAGAAATTATGTTCACTTAGAGACCTACATTTTGAACTCAATAGTGGTTGTATATCAAGAATTGACTGTACTCCTTACTCCTGCTATTTCCCCCCCCCCACCCCCCAACAACAATCCTGTGAGATGGGTAGGGCTGAGAGAAAATGACTTGGGCAAAGCTACCCAATCAGAATTCATGCCTAAGGCGGGTTTAGAACTCACAGTGTCCTGGTGATTGGCCCAAAATTACCCAACTGGCTTTCATGTCTAAGGCGGGAGTAGAACTCCCAATCCCCGGTGATTGGCACAAAGTCATTCAGCCAGCTTTCATGCCAAAGGAGGAACCAGAACTCATAGTCTCCTGTGAGTCTCCTGGTTTCTAGTCTGGTGCAGGTAGACCAACCTGGGTTTGTCAGTGAACGTCCTTTTTTAATTCTTCCCCATCCATTCCATTTTTGCTGGTGTAATTCCTGCCTGAGTGAGGCTTCCCCTCTCTTCTGATGAATTAATTATGACTTGATTAATAAAGAGACAAAATAAGTAAAACAAAACCCTCCCCCTTCCAAATAGCTCATTTTCAAAAATAGCTGGTTCTTGTTCTTTTTTCTTTCTGTTTCTAAAATCACAACTGTTGGGAGTCTGATCCTGCACAGTTCTGTATTGTATCAACAATTTCTGCCAACTCCTTAATTGTTGGTGCAGTGGGTAGCATCCTACAAAGAGATTGTGCTGGTTTTAAGAGGTTGATTCGTGGATTCTATTTACACAGCTTTCTGAATGTGCTGTGCTTCATCGTTGCCTTATATATTTATTAACTGAGCACTGTTGGGAAAATCTGGGTACAAATTTATCAGCTAAAGAAATAAAAACTTAAGCATTAAACAAAAGCAAAGATTGGTCTCAGGACCGCTGCTGCTATTGAACATCCCTTAATGGAATGGGTTTTGGGTTTTTTTGCTCTTTCTAGCATTTTTGTTGGTTTCCAACAACAACCACCCATTTGGGAGAAATGATTTACCTAATGACCATGTGATTTGCTTAATGTCCATAGTGACTTGTAAAGAGATCATGTCAGCAATCATAAAATCAAATCAGGCCACATGGTTACCAGCTTACCAAAATTCTGGGCTCAATTGCGGTCATTCATTGAGGACTACCTGTCTTTGCCTTCTGCCATTAGATACAAGTGACATTTTATAAACACTGAAGCTATTATGATGTAAGTGACAATTCTCCTTTTTCTCCAGTAACTCTTATAGATTCCTATGAGACATCCACCTTCATGTTCTTAGTCTTTGATTTGTAAGTAAAAACATTTGAAAATGGGTGGGAAATAAAATGATATGCTAGCTGGGAAATTCTATGAAATAAAATGACATGCTGGCTGGGGAATTCTGGGAATTGAAGTCCACATAAAGCTGCCAGCATAACCCTATATTAAATTGTAATTATGAGAAAGAGAGCCATACACTAAATTAAATAAATAAATACAAGAGAGAGAACGTTCTGCTTTCAGACTCTAATTTTCCTTGCAGAATGAGACGTGGTGAACTTTTTGACTACCTTACCGAGAAAGTAACCATTGGTGAAAAGGAGACCAGGTAAACCCGAAAGCCTACTGTTGGGCTTAGATAAGTGGAAAATTCTCACCGCCTTATTTAGTGAGCCCTCCTCCTTGCTATTTTGTGAAGGGCTTCAAGACCTGGCCCTTGCAACCACATGTTGCCTTCCTTCAGGTGCATCATGCGAGCCCTCCTGGAGGCTGTGAGCTACCTTCATGAGAACCACATCGTCCATCGAGACCTCAAACCGGAGAACATCCTCATGAACGATGATCTCAGCATCAAACTGTCCGATTTCGGCTTCTCCTGCCATTTGAAGCCAGGAGAGAAACTCCGTGGTGAGGCGGGGGTTTCGTCCAGTGGCGTATCTTTGGGGAGGTGAAGACATTGCAGGGAGGCCTTTCCAACTGCCCCATGGAGCAGCCTTCTGTTAAGCCATAGGGCAGGCAGGAAAGCTCAGCTCATCGCTTCGGTGGGCGTCTTTTTGTAGGCTATTCAGTCCACCTCCCTTGTTCTGAAAAGATCTCCCAATCTGCGTTTCTCTGAAGTTCTCTGAATTTGTGACTGTTCCCTGCAGAGTTATGTGGTACCCCAGGCTATCTAGCACCAGAGATATTGAAATGTTCCATGGATGAGACTCACCCTGGTTATGGAAAGGAGGTGGACCTGTAAGTTATGCTTAAGGAATGGGATGGGGGTCAGGGAACCTTCCTCAACTTGCTTAGCATTAGGTATTCTGGACTACGATTGTTCTTACTTGCCAGCCAAAGCGGAGTAGGGCATTCGAAAATAATTCCTCCTTTGTGTTCCTTAGTTGTTTTCTTGCAGACGTCTCATTACCCAACAAAGTGACATCATCAGTGCTAGAAGGGAATGGAGTTTGCTCTCTGTTTATATACCAGTGGCTTGTCCTGTCAGGGTGGTTGGGAGTGTTTTTGATGGTTCCTTGATTAGACTGTTGTTTACTGTTTGATTGTACTGATGATTAGTTGGGTAATGAAATATCTGCAAGAAAACAACCAAGCTCAGAGAGCACCAAGGACTCCACAGTCCAACCCTGAGTTACAAATATTCTCTACTATTAATCTCCTCCTTCCCTCCAGCTGGGCCTGCGGCGTCATCTTTTTCACCCTCCTAGCTGGATCTCCTCCCTTCTGGCACCGCAAACAGATGTTGATGCTTCGGATGATCATGGAAGGCCGGTATCACTTTGGTTCTCCAGAGTGGGATGACCGATCCGACACAGTCAAGGATTTGGTAAGAAGACAGCAGCATCATTGCCTCGGGGTGGAGGAGGGGGGGTAATGGAGAGAAATGAAAAGGCTGCAGCTCTTTCAAGTTGGAGCTTGTTAAACTGGAGGGGACTTTGCCAACCCAAACTCTGCAGGAGGGATCCCCCAATCTGTTGGCAACCAGACTGCGTGAGTGGCTAACCAGTTAAGCACTTCCCTCCCGCTCGTTCTAGCGCTGTTGTGGTGTGTGTCACACTGGTGTTAGCATTGCGGTGAGCATTGCATGCCCACACCTGTTTGCATAGCGCACACGCTCGCAGCCCAGTTCATACGCTCTTGCAGCCCCGTTCATGTGGTCTTGTGCTGCCCTGCTTGTGTGCGCACATGAATGCTCCTGCCCCTCCGCCCTGGGATACAACCCAGAAAGGTTGGAGAACTCTGCTCTACAGGGCAATCCTAAACTTGTGACTGGCCACTTTTTGATGTTTTGAAGTTTTGATGTGATGGATTTCAAAGACCAGTCATTGTGCAGGGTGCCAAGATGTCTAACTGCATGGGCAGCGTTTATTACATTTATAGGGTTTTTGCAAGAAGACAAAGGCAACATAGATACAGCATCTGGATTGGAGAATAGATCACACATGGGTGAAAGCTCCCATCCACATTGATGCAACCTCCCAACCAATCCTTAAGACTAGTGGTGATGTTAGTAAATGAGATCACCTATATGTCTGAAAAGTCCGGGGCTTTCCACCTTCACCAAGATATAGGAAATGAGATCATGCAAGTAGCCAAAGGTTTTAGACTGCAGTTTGCTGCTAGCGCTAGCGCCATCTATTAGGATCTCAGTAGCTACTACAATGATGCCCACCTCCAGGTACTTAGATCCCGGTCTGAAGTACCAAGGCCACCTCCCAACCCTCCGGTGGTCATGTGACAGCATTCGGTCACTTGGCAACCAGCCAAATTAATGGCTATTTGCATTGTCCCAAGGTCACATGACCACATTTGACGAAGTTTTTTTGCCAAATCCCAGCATTTACTTCCGTTTTTTTGGCAAAAACAGCCATGGGTTTGCATTACGACCATTACGCTTTAGGACTTCCTCAAAAAGGGGGTTCAGTTATGCACTTTATGACTGTCATGACGTATGACTCTAATGGGATGGCTTCATTTTGGTTGTAACTCGAAGACTATTTTTTGGAGCTCATGCTGGCCTGCCTAGCTTGACAGGCAGAACTGGGGTGGGGCGGGGCTGGGGGAATCAAATCAATACAGGTTTAAAGCATCACATTGCTTCTCAGTCCGCCCTTTCCATATCAGAATCCATCCGCAGGCCTCTCTTCCCCGAATGCTTCTTAGGAATCCCTTCCCCGTTTTTTCCTTCGGCAGATCTGCCGACTGTTGAAAGTAGATCCCGCCGAAAGGTTGAGTGCTGTGGAGGCGCTGCAGCACCCCTTTTTCCAGAGCTATGGAAAGGAGCAGCGACATTTCAGTCCCTTCCATAAATTCAGGGTAAGTGGCACATTCTTATTTAATTACAAATAAACAAAACATTTGTTCATTTAAGCCATTTTTATCCCATTCTTCATTCCCAAAAGGGCTTGTGTCAGGAGTTGTATTGACTGCAAAACAGATGTTTTTAAACGTTCCAGAATCCAAATGAAATGGTTTTGGGTCGAAGTTAAAGCCAAACAGGGCTTCTTTTGAGGATGACTGCTTTTAACTTCCTGTCCTGCTAGACAGCACCAACTGACTAGTGCTGCCCTTGGTGGATCCTTGGCCTCTCCGCCTGTGATCTTTTGTGATCTTACGGGAGGAGGTGCCTCCTTTTCTAATGCTTGCTTATGGATCTCCTTGCCTTCTTCTCTCCGCCTCGTGGCCTGTTGTGACGTCTTCCTCTTTTCCCCACGGCAGGTGATTGTGTGGACAGTTCGGGCATCCATCCGCATCTACTCCAACTACCGTCGGGTGCGCCCGGTCACGAAGGAGCTGCTGCTGTGCGACCCTTATGCCCTCAAGGGGGTGCGCAAGCTGATTGACGCTTGTGCCTTCCGAATCTATGGCCACTGGGTCAAGAAGGGTGAGCAACAGAACCGGGCTGCCCTCTTTGAAAACGTCCCAAAGGCCATCCAGCTGGTCCTGCTAAACACAGAAGGAGAGGAGGCCGCATCCTCAGCCGTGGAAGACCCTCTCCTCTAGAGGCCGCCTAGCCCCTGTGAAACAGGAGGGGGGGGGTGAGTGGCACAAAACTGAACCTCCTCCTTGCCCCATTGGGAGAGGACAGCCAATGGTTAGAGTCCTCCTTTGGGTTCCTTGTGCACGAAAGAGACCGACTTTCTAGGGAACAGGAACTTGGGAAACCTTGAATTTTGGATGGATGGGACAGGATTCGCTATTTATCCCTGGAAGGTTGTTCTGGGTGTGGGTAGGGTTGATGTCACACCAGTGGTGTTGGTCCAAAGTGGGGGGACTGGGGAGAGCAATGTGCCCTGACGTGGCCCTTTGCACAGTAAGGAAGCGGGGTCTCGTCTGTCCCTGGAGTCCCTTCTGCTGAGGGAACAATCTGGGTCTTTAGATTCGGTCAGTATTGGAGATCAGCCGTGGGATCACGTTTTGCATCTCTCCTCCTTACTGCAATCAAGTGATGAACGTTGCCTTGTTGCCGAACTGTTTGTTGCTTCTTGTTTTTGCCATCCCCCACCTTACGATTGTCTAAAACTATAATAAAAGTGAAATGAGCAGCAGTCTTCAGACTTGGGCCTCCTTTTCATGGCGAGATTCGGAAGAGGAATTCATAGTAATTTCTGCTGAAACAGGAGCCCTGCCAGACCCATCGTGGTCTGCCCCAGGTCCCAGAAATTCCCAAGCACTGTGCCCGAAGTGGAAGGAACGATGCACCTGGAATTTGGCATATCCCAGGAAAAAAATGTTTAGGCTACAATGACAGAGTGGGCAGGCTGGGGAAAATCCCAAGTTCTTTGTGGAGTCTAGTTGGCACAGCCATATTCCAGGCAAAGCTTTTAATGAAAGAAATGTATCTCTTTACCCAGCCATGTTACATTATGTTGGTCAGCTGAAGGCACCAGGCTCCCCAGAATCTTTCCAAAACCGGAATGTATTTATTTATATCCTGCCTATCTTGTGTAACTCAAGGAAGCATAGATAACACTCTTACTTCCCATTTCTTTCACAAGAACCACACTGCGAGGTAAGTTGGGCTAAAAGTGTGTGAGCCACCCAAAGCTACTCAAAGCCTCTTTTCCTGCCTGAAAGGAGAGTAGAATTCAAGTTTGTGATCAGAGTTGAGCCCACAGTTTATATTGCTAAGTGAGAAATTTGCTATGTGAGTTTTACCCCATTTTACAACTTTTCTTGCCATATTTGTTAATTGAATCATTGCAGGGGTTAAATTAGTAACACAGTGGTTAAGTGAATCCGGCTTTCCTATTGACTTTGCTTGTCAGAAGGTGGCACAAGGAGATCACGTAACCCCAAGATACTGCAACCGTCATAAATGTGATTCAGCTGCCAAGCATCCAAATATAAATCATGTGACTATGGGGATGCTGCAACGGTCATAAGTGTGAAAAACGGTCATACATTTTTTTTCAGTGCCATTGTAACTTCACACGGTCACTGAATGAAGTGTTATAAGTTGGGGACTACCTGTACACACCACACCACCAAACTGACTCTCTAGTGTTTTTTAAAAATAATTAAATATGGGAACTAATCAAATTGGAATGACTTGATTAATTTGGTTTCATTAAATCCTTAAAAGTGTTCCTCAACTTACAACCATTCGTTTAGTGATTGTTCAGAAGCACTGAAAATGACTTTTGAACAGGTTTCACACTTACGACCGCTACAGCATCCTCATGGTTAGGTGATCAAAATTCAGACGCTTGCCAACTGGCATGTACTTTTGACATTTGCAGCATCTACGGTTCATGTGGTCACCATTTGTAACCTTCCCAGCTAGCTTCCAACAAACAAAACCAATGGGGGAAAGCCAGTTTCACTTAACAACTGTGGCAAACAAAGGACATAAAAGGGGCCAAAACTCACAACAACTTCCTTAGCAACAAATTTTGGACTCAGCTGTGGACATAAGTGGAGGACGACATATATTCAGTCTCAGATTATCCTTTGACCTTAATAATGCTGCTACTTTTGACCCAGAAAAAAGTAACAAACAATAGACAATATTTTAACCATACTTTAATATAACATCATTGGCTTCATGCAACCGTTCCTACTATGACCATATCTCAAAAGGGATTTTCTGTAAAGCCTTAGCACATTTTCAAAAGCCTTTCAGAAATCCATTTGCTCCTTGTATTTTAATTTGTCATTGTTCTCTTGGTCTTTGGATAACCTCTTTGTGCAGAAGCCTCGGAAATGAAGAAGCAACCCTTGGACAGAATATGGGCCTCCTGCACCCCAACCTTTCTAGCCTGCTTACTTCTTGCTTGCTTGCTTACTTCTTCTTGGCCTTGGCAACCCCCTTGCTGGCAGCAGAACCTTTCTCTAGCTGGATCAGCTTGGCGTTAAACTGGTCCTCTGTGACTTTTAGACGCTGATCGATGGAAAGGCGCAGCTGGGTTAACTCCTGGTTGAGTTGTGAGACGATGAAGTCCCGCAGGGCAGCCGTGGGACCTATAAATGGGTGAAGCAAAGTAAATTGTAATTCTAATAAAGAGCTGTGGTGGCACAGCAGTTAAAATGAGTATTGCAGGCTAATTCTGCTGACTGCCAGGAGTTCGATCCTGACCGGCTCAAGGTTGACTTAGCCTTCCACCTTCCGAGGTAGGTAAAATGAGGAAACAGATTGTGGGAGGTAATATGCTGACTTTGTAAACTGCTTAGAGAGGGCTGTAAAGCACGGTGAAGTGGTATATAAGTCTAAGTGCTATTTTTACTGCTAATAAGCAACCCAAGAGAGAAGCACTGCAATCAGCCACTCAGATTTCAGGTCCCGCACTGCCAAAAATCATGTATTTGTTAGCATTTATAATTTACAAGATAGAGAACTATTATCTCCCTCTTGAGGCCAAAAGAGAGCGGCTATTAATGGCAAAGGGACAAACTAGGGAGCTGTGGATTGTTCGCCTCCGGAACCCCCACACCACACCAACTCCAAGCGCCACGCCTCTGAAGCCTTCCACTTACTTTCTGCAGGGCCCCCCGTTTCCTCTGCTTCCTCTTGCAAAGGAGACAGTCCCTTTTCTGTACTCTCAGCCATAGATTCTGTAAGAAACAGGATGATCAGATAATGCTCTCTTTATTTTTAATCCCATTATTTTACATGACTGGTTGACGTAAGCTGACTCATTTTAGGTAAACCAAGCTTGGGAGGAAGGGTTATTAAGAAGTTTTGGGCCCTTCGAAGTCCTGCAAATTTTGCCCCTGAAAGGAAGAAAGGCCACAATCGCAGCATACCCACCTGGCACACCCGAGGTCCAAGACTATCTCCAATCTGAAAGCCTCTTTCAGAAAAAAGAGAACTCAAATATAGGCTGGCCAATGGCCTAAGCCCATGCCATGCAATTTTATATTTTTCCAGATCCAACCCATTGTGGGACATGTATTACTGAGGTGTTTTCAATCTTGGCAACTTGAAGACAGATGGACTTCAACTCCCAGAAAGCTAAGCTGGCTGGGGAATTCTGGAAGTTGAAGTCCACCCGTCTTTAAGTTGCCAAGGTTGAGAAACACTATTAGTTTATCAGACTTCTTCACTGTTATCCCCTGGACTACAGTGCCCAGTCCTTGAGTTGTCTGAGGATTGGTAGGCCAGCCACATTTTCTAATCTGATTATCACTTGCTTTAGCTTGATTTGACCAGAGGAAGGTTTCCCAACCTGCTCGATTCCTTTTTTTCATTCTCTCAACTAAAAAAAAGGAGCGGATCAATGTAAAGTAGACCTCAAAAATGAGTTGCAAAAGAATTTCAGCCCTTCTCCATACTCACCTTCCTCTTTGGGCTCTGGTTCAGGCATCCCAACATAAGTGAATGAGATGTCCAGCCGCACCTATTGATTTAAAGTACAATCAGGGTTGTAAGCCCAGAGAGATGGACCGATATTTCTATTTCACCTTCTTGAGCCTCTATGTTGGGATACTCCCTTCATAAAGATGCTGCTCCATCTCGTGGCAATAAAATTCTCAGGAGTAGTCAAATGATGTCAGAGGTCACATTTTATAATTGGATTGTTTTCCAGAGGGGGATGCTCTTCCTTTGCCATTGCAGGAAATTGGCAAGGGGACACTAGCCCTTCCCTACAACTGCCTGGGCTGAAGGAAGTCAGCCTTACCTGTGGGGTGAAAGCATATTTGTAAAGTTTGTAGTGACGGAAGTAAGTGTTAATCATGTAGTCGGTTAGGAGCACCAGCTGGTCCTGGCTGAAGAGATCGATGCTGAAGGGGGGTCTCTGAGAAAGAGAGAAGGAAAGCAGCCATAGAGCCACTGCAAGGAGATACGAAGAGAGGAAGGCTTTCTGCAGGGGCTTCATTCAAAGCAAACCACAGGTAATTCTCAACTTATGACCACGATTCAGCCCCAAATTTCTGTTGTTAGGTAAGAGAGTTGTTAAGTGAATTTAGTCCCATTTTACGACTTCTTTTGCCACAGTTTTAAGTGAATCACTGCAGTTGTTAAGTATCTGGCTTCCCCATGGACTTTACTTGTAAAAGATTGCAAAAGGGGATCACATGACCCCCGGGACCACTACAACCATCATAAATAGGAGGCAGTTGCTAAGCATCTGAATTTTTATCATGTGACCATAGGGATGCTGCAACGGTTGTGGAAAAATGGTCATAAATCACTTTTTTCAGTGCCAATATAATTTTGAACAGTCACTAAATGAACTGTTGTAAGTTGAGTACTACCTGTATGTGGAGAAGGCAACATAAAACCACTTTTGGCCTGGCCTGCCTGGTATTTAGGCACTCACCCGAATGGAGTGGCAGAATATGAGTTCAGAGAAATATTTATAGCATTCCTCCATATTGGGCAGTGGTGTTTCTACACAAAAATAACATGGAAAGCATAAGTGAAAGATCCACATTAGCCTCTTTCCTTTCTACCCCTCCTCCTTTCTGGTTCTAACCTCCCCCTGCTGCCCTGTTCCACAATATCACTGTCTTTGGTGGGGCCCTTTTTTCCTTCCGCTTCTATTCTTACTCACAGAGACATTTTCTCAAGATTCTGCCCTCATAACAACAAAGGCAAATGTAGCACATGGAACTGGCAATACCATAGCCAGGCTGAGACAAACAGGGTCAGGCCAAACTGCACAAACTTAATATGACTTGGACATTTGCAACGATTATTTTCTCCCATATCTATCACACAGCCTATTGCACTATTAAAACTAAGTAAATAAATATGTTACTTAAAACCTTGGGACTGAAGCAGTGTGAAAACCCAAATACGCAAGTAATGAAATACAGTTTCCATCTTCTTCCCTCATGTTTCTCCATTCCTACCACTTTCCTTTTTTCTGTCTTTCTCAATGTCCAGTTTCTTACCCACACAGGCCTCGTGCACATCCTTCACAATTGAGAAGAACGTAGCAGTTTGTTCCCGGTTGAAGCCCTGCTCCTGGCTGAACTGGATGGTGTAGAAGTACAAATCTAACAAAATAGCAGAGCGAGGATTTGATTCAAAATCCTTCAGATCAAAGAGGTCAGAGAGGAGCCTGCAGAAAGTAGGGGAAATGTGACAGCTTGAACAACCATTTACCATAACCATTTGCTATTTTCATTGATAATAGTCTTTTTAAAAAGGTTCTATGTCTATGAAAAGGCTGGTAGGCTTATTTGGTCAGGACTGACATAATTTCATCTTGGTTTCTTCTGGGTTTAATTGAATCCAGTTTAAAGTCTCAATGCCACTGTTCCAAAATAATAAATGTACACTTTTTATACTGCGATTATCTCCTCTGTTAAAATGAGGGGAGGGAGATAAATCTATTTATTTTGCCACATTATTCTGGGATTCTCAAATAAATCTTTTTTGCAAGATACTTAATGCTAGAGAACAACTACACATTTATTGTATATGAATACCCTTCTGGTTGTGCTACAGATGAAAAATGGTTTTATTAGTCACTAGACCGGCAATGAATTTATTGACATCTTCATTCTGTGCACTTCTCACTTTTTTGTGCACTTTTGTTCTACAAAGAGATTAAGAAAGCCAGTCATGAAATGTTTTATAATCTTAAACTTCCATCACCTTTTCAGTTCATCAGTTGTTTCAGCATTATTGATGAGGTCCATGGAATGAACATCTAAATATTTCCTGAAACATCACAAAAAAAAGAAAAGAGAAAAACTAAGGTTGCTACTGTAACACAATTTTTATTTTATTTCTAGAGGTGTGATCTTGCACAGGTTTTCTTAAAAATAAGGTCCAAAAGTTTAAAGTTGCTTGCACTGGATAAAGGATGTCAGCCAGAAATTCAAGGAAACTTTCTCATGGATCAACATGCAACTGGCTCTTAGACAGAAACTTTAATAACTTTTCCGAATCTCAAGAATGAAAAACTACTTACCATATACATATGTTTGCCTTATGTGGCTTGGGCTGAAAGAAAAAGGTCAGTTTTAGATACATTTTCTGATTGTGTGATGTTTAGTCCACAATAAGGTTAGTTCATTGTTTACTAAAAGCATCAGCAGTACAAATTGCTACATTTTATTGGTAGAACTCGAGATTTAATTCACACACTCATTATGGTTTATAAACCATGTTTCATTTGATAAACTTTATCATTTAATAGATTGCAATAAAGAATTGTATACTATAACCATTAGCTTATATATATCTTCACCTTTGTAGTGATTAATTATATTTGCACATATATTCAGACATCTACTAAGAAGCAGCATGTGACTTGTAGCATTACAGTTTATTCAGCAAGCCATAGTTTAAAAAAGAATGATGTGTCAATTCCGCTATAAGGAGATGTGTTCAAGTTTACTTGGTGGATATCTAGCCACTCAGATTTCAAATATTTCCATCATGTTTCCTACTGCAATGCACTATATTAATTTTATTACTGTATGCCAAATTACATATATCTGGTAATTCCAATATAGATAATCCTTGATTTTGAACAGTTCATTTAGTAACTGTACAAAATTACAACAGCACTGAAAAAAGTGATTTATGACCCCTTTTTCACACAACCATTGCAGCATCCCCACGGTCATGTGATTGAAATTCAGATCCTTGGCAACTGGCTTCTATTAATGACGGCTGTAATGTCCTGGGGTCATGTGATCAGCTTTTGTGACTTTCTGACAAGCGAAATCAATGGGGAAACCAGATTCACTTAACAAAGTTGTTACTAACTTAACAAATGCAGTGATTCACTGAACAACTGTGACAAGAACAGTCATAAAGTGGAGCAAAATGTACTTAAATCTCTCGCTTAGCAACAGAAATCTTGAGCTCTATTGTAGTCATAAATCGAGGACTAGCTTTACTGGATTTCTTCACTGGATAATCATAAAGACAAGAGTGACCCAATGACATCAAAGGCTGTGAAAACAACTTTTCATTATCTTCAGCCCCAATTATTTCCTTTTAAGTAAGGCATAACCTAAACATCCAAAGAATTGACACAAGTTTTTCTATTTTTAGCTTAAGCTCTCTCCAAGATATGATTTTTCTCCTCTTTGATGGAGGTCCATGTAGCCAACGGGTGCACGGCAGGCAGACGTTCAACAGGTAAAACTTCTCAGCGATTCCGGATCTGTTGAATATTCATGTTTGTTCCTCAAATGCTACAACGTTCTCCGCCGAGGGGATAATTTATCCAAGACAGCAATTATAACTATTAATATTAATTTCACGTCTATTTTACCAGCTGGAGGCTCTCCGGTCCCATTTCGGCTAGTTAGGGGGCGAGGCGTGGGGAAAAGCACGCGTTGCCATGGCAATCCCTACTTCGGCCTCTCAGGGCTCCATCAGTAGCTGTACAATCAGAACGAGATATGCTAGGCAGGAGGCGGGACGAGCAAACGCTACGCCAATCGCAGACATTTTCATTGGGGGGAAAACTAAACGGAAGACTTCCAATAGAGATAGAATATAATAACAAAATAAAGTAGCAAAAATCCAGAATGCCAAGGAGAAGAAACCATTTATTTGTCTATCTTACATAGAATTATTCTCTTAACACTTGATAGTCAAATCACCTCTTGCTACCTACATGGAAAACTTAACTTCCTCTCACTCAAAGTCAACAGAATGGTTGTCTCTACATTTTCTGTTTCTATCTTAATATCAATAGAAAGAAAGAGCCAATACGCCAGCTTAGCTATGGTAACAATATCTTCTTCCAACGTCGGATCTTCTGCGCTTTACCCAATCGCCTTCTTGTCCCCTCCCTTTCTCCCAACCAAATCCAGAATAATAATCCCGCCCACTTTTCTACTGTCGTCGAAGAAGTGGAGCATTGGTCGCCTAGCTAACACGAGCGTCCGCGTCTGCGCACTGTGCGAGGCCGAATACGTTGAGTTCCGTTGAGAGCGGAGGCGGAGGTTGGGCCTCTGGGAGGAGAGGCGGGCGAGCATGCGCGGTAGCATTGCTTGTCGGTAGCGTCATAGCGAGCCGAGGGCTATGGAGGAGAGGGATACCCGTGTGGGCCGGTGAGTGGTTAGGCAGCCTCTTCCTCACCGGAGGCTTTCCTTTTGACCCCTCTCCTTTGCTCCCTTTCCTCACAGGTCTTTCGCCTTGCCTACCTTTCTGCAGACGGACCGTTTCTTCGCATATCGTATTTTAAAATTCGCGTTGGGACTGAAACTGCAGTTTGTAGCGGATAGGAGGGCTTCTTTGGGGAAAGCGGTCTGTGAAGTGTCACTCCAAGTGGAAACATGAAAGTTAGGAGAAGGGGCAGCCAATATTCAGTCAGGTTTTCTTCCCCCTTTTTTAAGCAACCCAGAAGTTGACAGTCCTTGGCTGTTTCTTTCCCCTTTTTCTCGCCCAAGCTCCTTTCCCCATCTCTTACCTTTCTTCCAGTTTGTGTGTGTGTGTGTGTACACGTGTATGTTTGTATGTATGTATGGTATTTAGGTTTCTTTGGGTATTTTCCCACGTCTTAATATTTGTGCTTTTATTATAGCGACTTTCGGCAGAATCTCATCTGCCATCCTCAGGCTTGTGTATTGGGTTCTTTTTAATCTTGTGTATCAGGCTTGGCAGCCGTTTTTTGTTTGAGCACCAAATTAAAAGAAAAAACAGCTGCCAAGCCTGACACACAAGATTAACAAGAACCCAATACACAGGCCTGAGGATGGCAGATGAGATTCTGCCGAAACGTCGCTATAATAAAAGCACAAATATTAAGACATGGGAAAGTACCCAGAGAAACCTAAATACCATACATATAAATATCCACGAAAACGTAAGAAAACATAAATATATATATTTGTTTTCTTAAGTTTTCGAGGGTACTTACATGTATGGTATTCGACTTTGTTCGGGTATTTTCCCACGTCATTGTAATTGTGCTTTTAAAGTTGTAGCAACGTTTCGGCAGAATCTCATCTGCCGTCATCAGGCTTCTGT